AGGTGATTCTGTCCCTCTACTCTGCCCTTGTCAGACCCCACCTGGAATACGGCGTCCAGCTCTGGGGCCCTCAACACAAGAAGGACATGGAGCTGTTGGAGCGAGTCCAGAGGAGGGCGGCCAAGATGGTCAGAGGGCTGGAACACCTTTCCTACGAGGACAGGCTGAGAGAGTTGGGGTTGTTCAGCCTGGAAAAGAGAAAGCTCCGGGGAGACCTTCTAGCAGCCTGCCACCTGAAGGGGGCCTACAGGAAGGCTGGGGAGGGACTTTTTACAAGGGCCTGAAGTGATGGGATGAGGGGTAATGCCTGGAAGCTGGGAGAGGGCAGGTTTAGACTAGACACAAGGAAGAAGTTCTTCACCCTGAGGGTGGTGAGACACTGGAACAGGTTGCCTAAGGAAGTTGTGGATGCTCCATCCCTGGCAGTGTTCAAAACCAGGTTGGATGTAGCCTTGAACAACCTGGTCTAGTGGAAGGTGTCCCTGCCCATGGCAGGGGGTTTGGAACTAGATGATCTTTGAGGTCCCTTCCAACCCAAACCATTCTATGATTCCATGATTCTATTTATACAAATAATACAAATAAGAATACAGTCGGTTTCATACTTAATGATCAGATGTTCAAAGAGCTTAAACTTGGTTAAAATTCCTTATTTATGAACTGCACATACTACAACAGAAACTGGTTTTGTTTTACAGTTTCCAAGTGGTGAAAATTACTACAGTGCTTGGACTTTATACATAGAGTCTTTATTACAACTTGTACCTTCATTACAGAGGGCTCCTGTAAACCCAGGTAAGCAGTCACATAAGCCAGTAATATGGTGGCAGGGACCACTGCTGTGTACACACTGGGGGCATGTCTGGCTGCAGCGGTGTCCATAAAACCCAGGGGAACAAACTGGAATCAGAAAGAACAAACTGTCATTGCTTCCTGCATTTTCTATACAGCTGTGAACTACTCTTCAGTGCACTTGTTCTTGGCTTCGAATTAGCTCTGCTTTCTAAACACAGAAGACTTGCAGTGGTCGTTCTTATTATTCAGCGCTTTACATTCATGAAAGGAGATTTGCTTGTCTCCCTTAAGGGTGTACTATATTCTAGTTAGTAATGAATTAGTTGACATTCTATTACTTGTCAGGCCACAATGTACTTGCGTTATGTTTGATACGCATATATACTTTATGTATTATACATATTTGGCTTTACATTATATGTCCTCTACCACAGGAACATCTTTTAAAGCGTATCTGAAGAAAAGTAATTAAAAAAAAATAGAGTGGATAGTTTTATCTGTAGATGACTAGGGTTATCTTAGACCCTTAGACCTTATTATGTGTTTCCTAACTTGGAATACAAATAGCGATTACTTCACTGACAGAAACGTACAAATGTTTTCCAGTCATCCTTTCACTTAGGTACTCACTGTACTCATTACATGGTACAGACAGCTACGCATCACCTAACTTTTAGGGAACCTGAGACCAGAAAAACAGAGTTGTCCACTTAATTCTTATGCTAAAGACACTTGTTTCTTTAAAAAAGAAAAAAAAAAAAAAAGGAAAAAGTGTCTGTCACACAAAATCTCCTTCTTTGTTGCTCTAATCCCTTTTGGCATTTATATCCTGATAAATTAGAGTATTAGGTAATGCATCAAGAGAAATACCTGTTGCATAGCAGCAATTTGCACTGACAAAAACTAACTTGGAATCTTTTCAATACTTTAATTTCATTCAAGATTCAGTCTTTAAATTATACAATTGATACAAGTTATGTAGCCAGCTCTCTCTAGAGAGATTAACTTTTCCAAGTGAAACAATGCCAAAAGGTTTTCCTGTTTACTGAAAAGGCACTTTCTGACTGGGATCCAAATTATTCATATGACCTTTGTCTTCCCAGCCTCCAGACCACGCATCCGAGAGGGGCTCTGAGAGCCACTGGACTGGAAGCCTCTTGTCGAGGTTACAGGCACAGTTCCAAAACACAGGGAACACTTTTACATGTAGTGATACACTTAGTCTGCCCTTGGATTACCTGATTAACTGCAAGGCCTTTAGAGATTAGATAGTGAGAATAATTACTGCACTTAGTTAGAAATGCCTAAGGAATACTAATGGCACACTAATGTGGGATTTAGTAGTGCCATAGGCAATCACATTCTTCAGCTTGAAATTTTGCCATTCCTGGACTGTTAGGACTTCATCATCCTCTGATTGTCCTTCTACCTTCTAGTAATCATTTCATGTTGTCTCCTGTCTTTTAAGCTTCTTTTGGAGGATCTAGTAGCACTCCACTTGGCCTTACTCCACCTGCTTCATGATCCTGTTTCTGGGAGACCTCCTCTGAAAACAGTGTAGAGAAATCACATTTCTCTTCTCTGAACACCTTTCCCTCACAGCTTCAACACGTCAAACTGAAGACAGCTAGACTGCTGGCAAGCTGTGACAAATCTTCTTTGGGAGAGTAGATCACATCATCTTATTTTTGGCTCCCTGTTTCTGGTATGATTTCCCTCAATTCATCTGTATCTCTCTTCTTGTAACACTTAAATTTTACAGAGACAAATTTTTCCAACACAAATATGGGTACTACGATATCTTCTACTTACTGTGAGGCCTGATCCCACTGGCCATTCTTTGCTGCTTCAAAATAAGTTTTGAAAAAAGCAATAATTATGCCAATTCCTACCAGACTCAATGGGAGGCTAAGGTTCCTAGCTTCTGAAACTCATACATGTTTTATTTATCTACCAAAATGTGTATTACAAAATTAATGTTTGTCAATCACATTTGGAAATGCTTGCCTTTAGAACAGAATCCCCTACTAAATTTGTTTCTTAGAAAGTCATGTGCATAACAATGTCATGGCACAAACAATAAAAGCAAAGCTGTACTATAACAAGAAAAGCACTACTAGTTGGAAACATTTGTTAATTTCAGATAACACTTATTTCTGTATATTCATACATTTTGACAAAATGTCCAATCAAGGAGGGTCTCATAGTACAATTAACAAAGCATTATGGCAATATAGGATATGCATTCCATGTAAGGGAGGGAGAAACAGAGATTTTAAAGCATTTATTTTGTCCTTACTTCTCTGACAAGTGGTGCCTCTGTATCCTGGTGCACACTCACAGATTCCTTCATCTGGAGAGCAGGATGCTCCATTTTTGCAGTAACAAGACAACGAGCAATTTGGACCCCACTGTCCCTCAGCACACACACTGTCGCAGTGAATGCCTGCAACCACAAACAAACAAAACTGTCAGCCTTTGTAAAGAACTCTTATACGTAGTTAATTTAAACCTTTGGTCCTCAGAGGACTCATTTTTAAAACACAGCTTACAAAACCTGTTTATGAAAACATCAATAACATCAGGAAAATATAACAAGAACAAGGTAAACTTGCATCTCTGCTCCTGCTTTCCCCCAGAACAGTAAATTTCTTTCATATTCCAGTTTTGACAAGACATACATAAGGGCTGATCCTGAATCCTGTAATAGGAAAGCACTTCTGCAGATTTACAAGGAATAATTGCTCCATGGGATGCTACCTCCAGGCTTCCTGCCCACCAATACTTCAAGATCTACAAAGATGAATGCAAACATCTCTGTAAGAGTTCCATAATTTTCCAAGACCTTTACACACATATATAAAAATTTTAAAAGGTCTTTTTTTAACTCTCCCTTTAACCACTGGTATCAATAAAGAGAACTGAGAGTAGAAAGTAATTGAAATGAAGCAAAATAATGGGGTTTGCTTCCTCCATAATGGCTGTTTCAAAACAGCAAAAGCTTATTTTCAAATTTTATGTTAGTGAAATGCACAGCAAAAGGTATTGCAAAAACCTTTCCCTCTGAATGCAAAAATTCTTAAGGTCTGACATAATTTTGTGTAATAATGGGGTGTAGAACGCAGCATGATTTCCAACTAGTGGTGAACTGATTACTGCTCAGCCTCACACCAAATGGAAAAATGTAGCACACACAAAAGGTTTTCAAACACACTATGTGAGCATTCCAAAATGCTTAGCTGCAACAGTGTTAAGGATGCTGGTCAGTCAGTGCTTTGTTGAACCATTTTTGGCATAAAATTGGTTATAAAATGGCCACAACCTGAACCCCTATATGTAAATCATAACACAAACTACTAATTATAATCATCCAATGATAGGATGGGTTTTTTCTTTGTAATGCAGCAACACTAAATTTAACTTTCTTATTTGGTTTTTTACACTTTCTGCTTTTAAAAAGCACGCTGCATGTTAAATGCCAGCAGGCACCACTGTGGAACTCAGACCGTATTGTGTCTACAGTACTTTGCATTAACAATTAAGTATTATTGTAGCGCCTCTACTGAATGAAGCTCTTAGCTAAGGGAAAAGTGGATTGAATCCAACCACAAGCACGTCTTGCTTTGTAAGTATTTCCAGCAAAATATGCCACAGGTTCACTGTCTGCCAGAGTTCTAAAAAAACCCAAAACAGTTTCACATGTAACAAGAAAAAAATCTTTTAACTCTGAAGAGCAAAATATACTGTTTGTAACAATACTGAAAAATAATGACAGTTTACTGATAGACTAGACTCAGAGGTGATTCCTCAACCCCCACAGCATGTGCCTTGTAAAGATGCCTATATCCAAAGATTCTTTCTCTAATTAGAGGAAAGGTGAAACTCCAGACTCTCGCATTGTTTGTTTCTCTGAAAGACAATCAATGAATTGAATAATCAAATATGTAATTCAACAGACTGCATCAACTAACACCAGCAAGAGAATAAACGCTTGCCTTTTAGAATCCAGATGCTAACCAGCAGCAGACAGTACACAGCCCACCTAAAAGCCCTAATTGTACAATGATCATTGGGTAATACTGACCTAAAAAAAAAAAAATTGACAAAAAATGAAAGTCTTTTTGTATCATTACTTCTATATTTTTGCCTGCGTAGGTAATGTCATTCTCCTATCTTCATCTACATTTGAGTGGCAGTGTAGCCTTACTTCTCAGTAGCCTGGGTCAACTTTTTCATTAACTCCCTATTTGTGGACAAATAGATAAAACAGAGTGGTTTGATTTTGAGAGATGCTAATGCACATGAGCAGGATGAGATTGAAGCATTTTTTTTGGAAACAAGACCACTTCAGATGCGTAAGATTGCTCCGCTTGAGGTTCCCAATTTTGAGAACTCAGGTTTGTAAATCTGTGAAAGCACAAGCGGACACATGCAGAGCATTTCAGAATTGAGCCTGGCATTCTGTTCACGTGAGTGTTATCTGTCATATCACACATAGCTTCACTCAGTGAACCCTGCCAGAGAAAAGACATTTTTCACGGAGTCTTAATGGGTTTCAGTGGTGTTCAACATACAATGGACAACTATTAACAAGTCAGTGGTTGCCAAGAGTTACCATAGTGCATTATCTGAGATTATGTAGACCAGTGACATACAATAATACCAGGCTCAATTATATCGTCTTGATCTGTGCACAGAGGATGCTTTATGACAGCATGGTGTCAAAGGGTGATACTGGGCACACTGGGATAGAAAACACAATGGGCTCCATGCTGCATAGAGCCACGATACTTATAAGAGCAAACAACTATCATCAAAAATGAAGAAGGGAGAAGTTCCTCCAGTACACACCAGCAAAAATTATCCATTAGGGAAACTGAAAAAATTACCTTTTCTTTTCCACTTTCACGACTTATGAGGAGGTAGTCAGGTAAAGAATGATATTCCTCTACTTAGCAAAGAAACTGAATCCTAAATATCACTGAATAATAATTATGACAATATAACATACTGAAAAAAGTGCTGAATATTACTTCTGTTTCACTAAAAAAGGAATTTAATTATATTCACTAATGATCATAAGCAAAATCAATTGAACTTCTGTGTGTGTCAAGAACGTAGCAAAGGAGAAATACTAATTCATTTATTATTCATACCATCTCTACTTATAAAAATAGTTTCAAATCTCATTCACTCACTGTTATTTAGGTAAGTTCACAAGGCACTTAAAAATGAGAAACTGAGTTTGACATCTTATAGCTGCAAACATCAAATATGCGTATTTTTGAGAAAAATAGGTTAGAAATATTAAAATGATTAAAACATTTTTAAAAAGAATTTTCCAGACTCCAATGCTTTATATGAAATTTTAGCAAAGCAAGCTATGCTTTTATAGAAAAAGCTAGACATTAGTGAGGAAAAAGAAACATTTTTACTAGAACTTACAACACAATTTTAGACTCAGCTTTTGCAACAATTGTATCAACAGTGTACTGGCTTACAATTGCCACAATTTCAACCAAGTATTAATCTCTTATGCAATAAAATTGTTTTTTATATTTTTTCAGGTTGATTTTGATACTGATAAGGATTATCTGCGAGGAAATGTTTTTGCCAGAGCTATGGACAAAGAGCTCTTTGATGGCCTTCACAAGTTGCTAGGCAATAGCTGAATGGTCATGATAAACTTCAGCTAAGCTGCTCTGAAGAAACGCTCATGCATTTAATGCCCAGTGCTTTATGCTGGGGGCCTCACATCTAAATCAGCATTCCCCCAGAATTCATAATTGCATGAATGAAGTAAACGATTCTTTACGGATACCAGTGTTTCTGCCCATACTAGCAGAGTGTTTATACACTTCCTAGGCTATATTTTTAAGTTGAGACTCAGTGATCCATCCAAGTCAGATCAACGGAGGGCTAATTTGTTTTAGCACTCAAAGGGGAAAAATTTTGCCAATTATTTCTTACAACCTTACCAGGCAAATTTATTATTGGACTAAGTGCTATTTTCTAGCTTATTATGTTTCCATTAGTCTGACAAAAAGTTATCCAAACTTTAAAAAGAATTACTTTTTTCATAAAGAATGTGTATTTGCTATACAGTTTATCTTCACAACACAGGGAACTTTCTGGTTATAATCTCTCTCTATTTGTATATTGGTGTACTTCCTATATGTCAGAGTTAAACTGGATATACAACAGCCTAAACAAAAGAAGGATCAAGCCCTCAAAACTTGGGCAAATCTTGGTGTTATTAAAGCTAATGATACATTTCCATTATGGTCCAAGATCTCACTCTTCATATTTGAAAGAAACAAACATTAGAGGACTTCTGTTCAAGGAAGCTGAATGTAAGCTTGATGGTAAGAATTGCTCCCCTACTTTTCTGTCAAATGATGCATAAGAAACCCAAAGACAGGGGCGAAACAGCACAGGGAAGCAGTGACAAACTTCATAGGCACTATTTAGAAGTGCCCTCATTGTCTCTAAAGGAAGAGAAGTACCTTCCTCCCTAGCTGAAGACAGGCAGAAGACTAAATAAAAGTGTCTCAAATTAAGAACGTAATGAAGGAATCAAAGATTTTTCTCTAGAAGTTCAGACTGCTGCTTCTTCACTGCAGCAGCAGGAGAGTTTGTACCCATGAGTTTTGGTAAGCTACAAAGCTTGATAGCAAAACCAGCACTGTATTAGAGTTCAAAGGCAAACATCAGTATGTGCAAATTTTAGTGGAAGGAACACTTTCGAGATATCCCTGGTATCTTTCTGAAGGCCATACTGTTGCTACATACTATCATCCACTCCAGTGGTGCTCTTCTTTTCATCTGCCACATTTTAGGTAGCCACAAGAAAATAACTTCTCCTTTTTCTACCTTCTTGATAGGTAGAAAATAAATGTACTTAATCTACTGATTCAAAATTCTTCTTCTACAAGAGTGGTATTTCTTCTACATAAACATCTACCATAGCATACAGGCAACAGATACAGACACAGCGAAGCCCAGACGTAGGGTAGGCCAAATTTCTTATTGAAGAATTCATCTCCCAAAGTTTGCAAAGTAAATACCCCGTTTATATGACATAGAGCACACATATGATTTCATTTTGTGGCACACTGAATATTCATCACAATGGCATGAAGCACAACTTCAGGAGCCCAGGGGAAATTGGCCAAGGTGGAGGGAAACCCACGTTCTTGCAAGAAGTTCTTGGCTTGGGTGCATCAGGGCACCAGAACCACACACACTGTTCCAGCAGCAGCTCGTTTCTCAGTCTTAAGGTGAGGGAGACCCATGACAGTACTCTTTTATGTTTTTTGTCTTCTATGTAGGAGAGGAAAAAAATGCATATACATTAAAAGTTAAGGAGCAAGGGAGAGTTCTAGTTCATGCTTCCCAAGGGACCTGGTTATTTGCATCAGTGGGGTGAGTGTCAGATGACAGTCCTCCTTGTTATAATCCAGCAACAAATATGCCTCTTTTAGAAATAATGTCAGAAGCACACGGAAAGTCACAGCACTTCCTCACAGAAACAACACATCTGGTAATGGGCAGTCTGACTACCATCAGCAGGTGTCCAGCACAACAAAAAGTCACCAACACCCTATCTGCTGTAGCATATGGATGAATACTATGCACACTGGTAAAATGTAGACTGATATCACTGCATCTGTCTCTTCCATAAACCAATGCTATTGTTTTGGCACAGGCAGCAGTCTAGCGATATTTCACAATCCCTGGCACCGCATAACCTTTAAATTATTTTAAAAATAACAAATGTTGTATCATTTCTTCACATTCATTCACATTTCTTCACAAAAGAAAGGTCCAGCAGAACCGCACCCAAAAAAGCGCAACAGTAACATGTTATCAGGAACACCGACATTACTGTAATACAGTAATAAACGAACTGTCTGGAGAAAAACTTTTGCCCTTTTTACAATGCTTTAATACGAAATCTGTTTGCAAGAATATGAATTCTCTAATCTCTTAGGCAATTAGGAAAAAATTATTTTAACAGTTGCTTGCAGAACAGATAAGATTAAGTGATGAAATTAACAGCATGGTGCTTGCTGGATTGTGGTCATTGGGAGAAGTGGTAGAGGTGGCTCGTCAATGGAAGTTAAATTTTTTGGTACAAATTATTAGGAGAATTATCATTGCGTATTGGGGGAGTACATTTTCTGTGTCTTTCTTCTGTGTTCTATTTTAATGGTTCTTACTCTTTTCCACTGTCTAGCTACTGTGCTCCCTCCAAATGACGAAAAGTTATTTGTAAGATACAGCGAAAATGTCAAGGGATGAGAGTGTTTTGGGCAGACATCATCCTCTGTGTGGGCAGATGTTTCTCATTTGTGCCATCCTGTCATGTGGCTCCTGGAACGTGATGGAATGGTCAGATTGCCAGGAAAAAACCATCACTCTTAACTCTTCCTTTACCAAGCAGAATTACACCATTGTATAGTGAGCACTTGGTGTAAACTACAGAGAGTGTAGGATTTCTAAAACAGGTGGCCTATAAACAAAGTCACTTTTGTTTAGGATGAAAAATCTAAACATCCTCCTAGGCAACATATCCTGAATTAAAACCAGAAAACCTAAATTAAAATAGAACCTAATTAAAAACCAATTTTAATGATTTCTTTAGTTTTATAACAGCTTACAACATTGCAAGAGTCAGTAACTGAACTTGTATTTCTGTTCATAACTAGGACCTAAGAAGCAAAAGATAGTATATTTGGCATGTTCAGAAATGAGAAAAACCGACCTAAAAAACCTAAACCACATAGCATCCTATTGTTGACCCAATGATCAGCATGTTAGCTAGGCTGCCCCTTGGTACATGGTAATAGCACTTGGGCCCACTTCAGCAGCTCAGAGCTCCCTTAATACCTAAGGGAGCATGCACCGCACAAGGCCAGTGACCTCCCCTCCCTTTGCGGCATCTCTTCTGTTCCCCAGAGTTATGGTACTACTGTGTCATCAAGCAAGGGAAAAATCTTCCACCCTTCATATATTTCTGCAAAGTTATATCAACTATTCCCTCTGATGAAATTCTCTGGGGAAAGTGTAGACAACTGCTCTGTTCATAGGGCAGAGAAAAATACTACATTTAAAATATCTTTTCAGAAATTTGTATAATTTTGGTAGCATGAAAACATTTGGGGAAGTTCACCTTGGATTCATCAATCTGTTCTTGTTGAAAAAGAAAACAGACTTGAAAGTTCAGATTTTTAAGCTTCTTCAAATATATCTATTTTTTAACACTACCCTCCCAATGGTTTTTAAATCCTTTGTTTGGGTTAGGTAAGTATTAGTCTGCTCCAAAATCACTTTCTCCCTCTCTTAAATCTAAGATATTGTAACGTAATTTGTTGCATTTTAGTACCTTCCTATATTTTCACAAATCCTCCATCTGCTTCACCTATTACGCATACAACAATGTATTCAACCTCCCTTCTTAATCCTACAATTTAATGCTATCTCTGCAATGTAACATTACAGTACAGCTATTTAAGAACCTGTTTCTAAAGTATTCTCTCCTTTTTTTAATCATTCTAAATATAAGCATCTACACAAAGACCAGATTCCTCGTGGGTATTGCTCTGACATGTGAAGTGTGGGAGAAGGATTCTCCTAGACACTGAGTATAAAGCAAACTATGCCATTTATGTCATACTGTGTGTCTAGACATCACCAACATGTTGAAACTAGTCTGTTAGACACACTGTTGTGACGACACCATCCAGGGATGGATACTCAATTTTATCTGTAATCACGCATGAAGTCTCTTTCTAGTGAAATCTTTTTCCTTTCTAAATATGAAGATGACATAAGATTTCACTGCAGGCAAAAATATCGTCTCCTTTTCAATACCTGAGTTCAAGCACAGTCAAGGTTTGTGCTTATGCTTGAAGCCTTTGCCACATCACTGGCTAGGTAATTTTTATAATCTGTTTCCAAAAGTTGCTAGATTTTTAGTACGGCCTTTCAAAACTACCTATTTTAATCTGGCTTCATTCATTAACATACTTTCAGTATCTGATGATTTGTCTCAGTTTTAGAAAACTCACAAAATGTATTTTGAGCAGTACATCTGGAACTCGTGAACAGCTCTAACTCATACACCGTAGTTGCTCAAGATCAGCAACTGTCCACATGTTTTTAATGTGGGTATTCTTTGCTTTATATATTTATTAATTTAAGAAATCATATTTTGAGCAGATTCAAATACAAGCTTGAGAAGGTGTGTCCAAACACACAAACAGAATTACCTGAAAGTAAGAACAGTCATCAAAGGCCATTAACGTCATAGCAAAATAAACACAAAGTAGTGTCTCATAAAATAGTAATAGATGGCATAATACTAACAGTATTTTTTCATAATTCACTCAAATAACTTTTTTGCACTCTTGTGGTAGTCATTTCCCAAAGGGATCTGAGTGGCTAACGGTAGGTAACACCACAGCTTGTGGGAAGGGAGTAAAACCAACAAACTCCTGCCTCAGTTAGTGAGTGCTGGCTCTGGAAGCCTCTCTTTCACACCGAAAAGGGAAGAAACAGGGAGACCCAATGGTGAGACAGGCCTTCCCAAAGAACTAGGCAGAAGTGTAATACACAAGCAAATTGCACAAATAATAAATGGGTTTGGTCTTTCAAAGGAAAGCAGAAGCCCTTCCTGCCCATGTCTGTATCCCTACAAATTTCCATTACCTACCCCCCATTAATCATAAAAGTCACGTTCATCTGAACAGAAAGTAGAAAAAATACCAGGTAAGCTGTAATCAGCTACAACCAATTAACCTGAAGTGCAGACACAGAGTGTTACATTCTTTGAACAAAATGCCTGTGGTCCATTGACAGATTTAGAAAAATAAAGCATACAAAAATCAAAGTTTGGGAAAACAAATCAGTAAAGACTGTATCTGAAGAAGTCATAAGCTCTACACAAACTTCTGTGAGCACAATGATTTGCTAAACTTGACAAATAAATTACTTGCTGCAGGTTGTCTGGTCAATTCCATCTGCTGTGTCTGGAAGCACCAGAGGAAAAAGAAAACAACTACATAATGAAACTGCAAGTCAATTAGGAAAAATATTAACTTATAAATGAGCAAGGGGATAATAAATAATACTAGGTTATACCTGAAATCACAAAAACCCCTTCTTTCTTTTCACAGAAGGAACATGCTTTGTTCATCTAAGGTGTATTTTTCATGATGGCTTCTCATTATTAAATGGAAGGAGTCCATATAGATGGGTGACATGAAATCTGACCCTTGTAACACTACGGTACCACAGTGAGACACAAAGTCCAGAACACTCTGAGAGGGGCAAACTTATAGTGTCAATTAATCCTTATTGAAGATGGAAGAGTTTTCCCAATACTTAGAGCTTAGAAATCTATGTGAGAACTAAAACTCTCCTAGACATAAAAGGAACATTTCATGATAGCTTGCCCTTCTACACAGTTTCATAATGTTTTCAAAAAAATCTTGCTTTCCACAAAGAAGAGAGCGCAACAACAGTGTGAAACACAAATTTTGATGAATAATTAAATATATATAGTTACTAAAAGCATAATGAAAAAGCTGGAGAAACTTCATGAAAAAAAGTGCAACAATTTTCATACAGAACAAAGTATGTGCAGAGAAACTCAATTTTTTCAAAAATTTGAGAAAGCCAAATGGCAGCACAGCTTCCGCACAATTTACTCTCTTTTTGGCTGCCTGAGCAAAGCTTTCTGAGTTCCTGGATGTGATGCTTTACCTACCAAAGCTGCCAGCACAACCTTGAATATTTACAGCTATTCACCACTTTCATAAGGAATCATACTGTGGAGGTGCCCAACTATTAAGATTTCCCCTTTTATTCCCAGTTTTCTGCAGATCTCACACTCAAAGTTTCCACACCTGTGAATCACAGAAGGGATACAGCAGCCACAGAACTGACCCTTTTCTCCTTCCAACCCCGGATACTCCTCCTCTACCCACAAAACTGAAAGGCAAGACCAAGTCCCACCACAGTGGAAACTCTCATTGTCCTTCATAGCCGTCTCTTTTGTACCTGACCATCCCGGTAGACAGCGACAGTAACCCGTGGTGGGATGACAACCGTCCGCATGGCTGCAGTCACAGCGTTCAGCACAATCCATACCATATGTGCCATCCTGTGGCAACAGAAAAAAACAAACCCAGAGATGATGACAACTGGGAACAACAGGAGAACAAGTTCTGGTCAGGGCTGCCTCAAAAAGTAACCACAGGCCTCCTGAATCTGTAATCTGCTTTCTTAATATAAGACACTTCTGGCTTTTGGAACATTTTAGTGTCCTACATTTTCATTCTTTCATTGAAGAGGGGAAGATGAAGAATTAACTACATTATCTTGAAAAATCCCAGACTAATGGATCTAGAGATGGTGATTCAGAACACAGTAACCTGCGCTGTCAGAGGCTGCAGTGAAAGCTTTCCTGCACTGTCCCTCTAATTCCCCTTACCGCTGAGCTCCTACTGCAGGACCTAGGGGTCCCTCGATGGGAAAGCAATTCAATCTCCATTCTGCCTCAGACCCTGAGCTCTCTACATATTGGTCTAAAAAAAGAGTAGAAAACATCAGATTAAAATGTATCTTCAGTATGAAGTTTATTGAATGAACAGTGCAAACTGCACCACTTCCTTTTGATTAAAAATCCTTCCCTCTGCACTAGAGCACATACTACATTAAAAAGAGAAGCTCTTTTGCTATGAGACAGTACATAAAACAAAATAATTTTTTGGCTATGCAACATTTTTTGAACCAACAAGAGAGATTAAAGTTACAAATTGAACACTCTTCTTGGTTTATTCAGCTGTGCCAAAAAACCACTGCTGATTTTCATGGAACTACATATAAATAATTGAATTTGGCTTTTCTGCTTTTTCCATAGAAGGTGGCACATACATCTAGGGGTAATTCCATGTAAAATCAATCTAAGGAACTGAAAAGAGCAAAACCTTTGCAATTGCATTCTCAGACCAAGGCAAAGTACAACAGTAAATTGATCTTACAGAAAAAGTGTCAAAACCAAATTAAAAAAAAACATGGAAAAAAGCCAGTAAAATTTAAGGTAATACTTCTGGGGTCACCCACAGTAAAGGCAAAAAAAGGGAAAAAAAAGTCAGTTTTAAAACCCAATTATTTAAATTCAAGGCTAAAAATCGGTCTCAGTCACGTTAAAAATCAGAATAAAACCTATATGAAAATTCATCTGCTGTTCTTTGATGTTCTTGCATACATTTCTACCGGTTCCAGAGGATTTAGCTATTCCATTCCCAGTCTTTCAAGACTAAAGTAAAACAAAATCTTACATTACTTGAGTATATGAAGCCTTTTGCTCATCTGAACAAAACATTTTTATAGAGAGAAAAACAAAAGATTAAGCATCTCCTTTGCATGTAATCAGATCTGGAAAGAAAGGAAATCCTCAAATACGCTGTTTAAAAGTGGTGGTTTTAGTCTGCCATGTATTTGGACTTCAGTCAAATTTTGAGTAACAATCTGGGCAGTGATATTAATTTCCTGAAATTACTGAAACAAATTAAAATACATTGATCTCATGGGCAGCTGGATTAGATGACCTCTAGAGTCCCTTCCAACCTAAGCCATTCTATGGTTCTATGACCTAAATAAACTCTTGGCTCAAACAAGAAAAAAAATTTCAGACAACACTGGACACATTTGAATTAGTGTTCTGTTTATTCTCCGGCTCTGGAATTTTGAAGCAGAATATGCATTTGAAATATTTAAATGCTTATGGACATCATTTGACACAGACACAGAGAGACAGCAAGAGCAAGACGATGAGCATAGGCCTGATAAATTATCCAATATAGAAACGCTTCTAAGCATTATTTTGCTAAATTTGGAACAGCGGGGCAAATGCCATGAAACAATATCTATCTTTTTTAATAAGTCAGTTTTAGAAGAGCTAATGGAGCTTGGGAGATCTCACTATCCTTCAAAATCAGACACTAAGTAATAAACAAAGCTGCTTTAGGAAAAAAAAAAACGACTCTTCTGATGGAGATGCATTGTTGCATACACTGCATAAACATGCACAGATGGTACTCTAATCAGCTTTCCAGAATATTTTAGAATTTGATTGCCACTTTACTCACAATACGTCTATGCTATACCTCACCTTAAAACCAAAAACAACCCCCCAAAAAATCACTTCTGTGTATTCTGAGAGCAGTTCAACAGAACAAATTTTAATTCAAAACAGAGGTGAATGTTGAGTCTTATGTTGTAGTTCAGCTACTCCTAACATCTTATGGCTCAGTAGAGATAGTCCAAACTGACAGGAGCTTGAATGTGATACAGCATAGGAATTTACAAGGTTCCTGTTCAGTTCAGGTGATTCCTTTACAATTATATTAAATCAGCAACCTGCTATGCAGATAGTACTGCAAAAGTGAAGAAAAGACAGGGGAGTGGAAAAGGAGAGCAGTGAGATGTTTATTAAAAAAAAATGGAAGTTTGTTAAAAATTTCCCAGAAAATTGAAGTCCATCATTGGAAAAGATGGACTCCAGAAAACCCCATTTTTCATAAAATATTTCATTTTTTGTTTATGAAATGTAATTGAAACTAAACAGTTATACAATAAAACAAATCAGGTTTGAATTTTACCATTTTTTAAATTTTGGAATTATATATTTTTATAGCTTCCCCAAACTGCAGATTACAAGGTAGAACACAATTGATGAAGAGTGTGCTTATGTCAACACAACGATTTTTAATTTTGAAGTCCTCAAAGTTCAGGAGATAAAGGAAATCAGAGCCCCAGTAGAAAGTCAAAGACCTGTCATGGTACTAGGTAGTCAGAGTGCCTTCTCATGTTGACTTAGAAGGGATGAAAGTTCCCCATTCATACTGTATCACAGATATAAGGTAATTTAAGTAAAATGATGTTGTTTGATGTGAAATATATTTTTGGTACATTTTTTCTCTTACCATTTCTACTTAAATAAGTTTATCAGAAGCAGTTTGGATAGCATTTGATGCTGATAGACAGGGAAAAGTTTGGTTCTGTGTTTTTCAACAAATTCTAAAGGAGCTGCTGAAAAGTTTAAGGTCCAACTTTAAAGCAGAAAAAGTGTTCATCTGTGCCTCTTCATTTTGTGTAATCATTTTTTGTGTCCATTGGTGCACTGCAGAGCAGAGTTCTTCCAGAAGAATTGTTGGTGCATGCCCCTGATCTTGATCTAGTTGTATATGGACTACCAGATGCAGTGATCCTTAGGGATTTATCCCCATGAAGTCAGAAGAATGACAAGAACATACCCCTGCCCAGCATTACACTATGGTGCAAAATTTACTGAAATTATTTAACTACCTGGCAAGGGAGCTCGCATTTTTCTCCTCTCCAGCCTGGGGCACAGGTACAGGTTCCATCCAGAGCATTGCAAGCCCCTCCATTAAGACACTGGCAAGTTAAGTTACAGCCAAGTCCCCAGGTACCGCTAGGACAATTTATTGAGCAATCTACACCATGCCAACCTGTCAAAAATAAGAATTAAAGTAACAAATTAATCAGGTTTCCCCCATTCCTCTCTGAGGTAATATTTCACTCTGCCTACCATGTGGCATCTCTTGCAGATGTGCAATACCAGGGTAACATTAACTACAACTAGTATCAGCAGTTTCAGCTGAGGACTTGTCCAGCTTTGAACAAAGGTGCTCAAGGGCACCTTCTAACATCTGTGCACAGCACACATTTGCAGATGGATGCCAACATACAAAAGCAATTGATGGGAGATCTGAAATGAAAACAGAGACACCTTGAAATTTCACTGAGAAGCACTGAACTATACTGAAAGTTTTAAGGCATAGCCTGAAAAATATGAATATTTCCCCTAGACCTAAGCTGCTGCTTTCATAATTCTTCCACCAATGTTCAATACAGACAGTTCTGCAATACCGTTTTAACAGAAATCTTAGACAAAAAAAAAGAGAGAAAACATAAAAGTAGTGCATAGGTTGGATTTCTCCAGGGATACATAGAAGACTTTTTAGATTATTTCTGTACTTCTCTCCAAATACCAAAAAAGTATGTAATAGAAAATGGTCCCAAAATGCAACATTCACTACTAATTATGCCTGATAGCAATGATTCGCAGGCTGCGCAGTGGATAGACAGAAATGTAAACAGATTTTTAAAAATGTGATCATCTATTGGATGCAAGGGAAACGGCGTGAGCCAGTCATATGTTATCATCAGCAGTGACACAAGCCAAGTTTCTAATTTTGTACCTTGTTTACAGTAAGTGAAGGGAAAAATAATTCTGCACTGAGCCTAATCAATAGACTATGCAAAACACATGTATTGAAACAAAACTGCCTCGTGTCCTGGGTTGATAACTTCAAATTTAGGGGTTATTTCAGGAAAAAATGTTATCTTGTACTAGCTAGAAAAGTGAGATACTTTCTCTCAAGTATCTTTCTAGGATTTACAAATTTCCTTCATTAGCAGAAGCTAGTTAGGTACTCTAATAGAGTTCAACTGTCTCTGGCAAGAGTAGAAGCTGGAAGCTCTCCACATTTCCTACATGACTGACTTAATTGTATGCGTCCCTGACAAATTTAGTGGCTATTAGTCTACATAGCTCTAACACTTCTCCCTCACTCTCAACATTTGTGTATTTTTAGAAAAACATTTTTAGGTGGTGGTCTACAACATAGGCTGGGCTTGGGAGCATTCGACAGCCTGTCCCTCTCTTCTCAACAATCCAGCGTGACAGCTGAGGGGTGCTGGACTTTAAATCCTTCCTCATAGGAGAAGTGAAAAAGAGAACAGATGTACTGCAAGAGCGGATCTTTAAGTGGAGTTTAGTAGCATATTTTGGGTTGAACAAGAACACCATGTGGACCTGTAGACCTTGATATAGGAAAAGATCTTTGCAGAACCAGCACTGGAGGATGTCTGAGATATTTTCGTTCCAGCCAAAGGCATATGCTACTGGAAGATGAGGTGGGCAGGCATGTATGTTTCGGGTGGAGGTACACTAACCATCAAAACTACTGTTGGGAGGAGAAAGCCAGGCAGAGGGGGCAAGGAGTGTGAGTCCACTCAGATTAATACTGGGACATTCAGAAATTTTCTTGCAGAAGCAGGGAACAGTAGAGGGCAGAGGCTGGGAAATGGATTAGGAAAGTTTTTGACAGAGAATTGCCCAGGAAAAGAGTATTTGAATAGAAAAAAATGATAGTAGGTATCAGTGCTAAACTGGCAGGAAGAAGTCTGTGCCTCAGTGATGCTAAGAGGGGCCAGGGTGGCAGCCAGAGGTGGTGCTCACCCACGCTGAGGGGAAACAGGGCTACATATTTTGACTAAGAAGGCTGACATCAGATAAATGGCATACCAGTAGTCCTTCTAGCAGACCACAGCATTGCCACAAGAGACAAGTGGTGGCCCATTTCAGGGTAAAGACTAGTAATTCACCCAGCCACAGTACCCAGCCTGCTGAGAACTGTGTCAAGGAAAGATGAACACAAGGTACGTGCGCTCTTCTCTGAGCAGATGTCTTCTTAGTTTTAGCCTCCCAGAGTAGAAGAAGCATAAAGTATCCATGATATGGCCTTCAAGGTGGTCTGCTTTTTATTAAGTTTCTTTCTCCTTCTCTACTTCAAAAACTCAATTTCATTTTATGATTGCAGAAAAAGAAAATTAATCTGGAGAGACACTTACCTGCTTTGCAGGCACAAGAACCATCTACTGGTGAACAGATGGCTTTGTTTTTGCAGTTGCACTCAGACGAACAGTTTACTCCGTATGTCCCCGGAAGACAAGGAGTACCACAAGCAGCACCCTGAATTATACAAAAATAGAGTCTAAAAACTATTTGAGGAGGTTCAGACAATATAGCTAACAAACGACCTAGACTAACTCAGGTGCCACAAAAGCCAGAAAACATACAGCTCATGACTGTCCTAGGCTGTCACTGAGTTATCCTGAATTGAAGGGAAAGGGAGTCCTTCATGCTTTTTATGTCTACAATAAGCATTAGTTTTCTATTAGTTGCTGTGGGAGCTCAGGTCACATAGCTAACAGCACTTGGTTAAATCAATAGACAGTATTTTTAGTAACAAAGAAGTTCTTTAGGAAACCAAAACAGAGCAAGACAGCAGTTTAGTGGAAAATAATGTGGATATGTAAAATAATTTTAAGAACTCGGATGAAGTTTTCACAGTCATTATTCCTGGAACAGTCATACTGTAAAATGTCTTCTATGTTAGATTAGCATCCAATGCACAGGTGACAGCAAGTGTGTGTAAAAGCTGCAGAACAATCTGTCCTGAACTGTAAAAACAAATGTCTTTCTCTAGAGTTTCTGTGGATGGAGCATGAGGAATTGGTGCAACAAGATAACGACTGAAACCTATCATTGTTCCCTTCATTTACTCCTTTACAGGACACCCTCATTCTTACCAATGTCCTATAGAGCAACTAACTTTTCTTCCTTAAAATGGCTTTTTTCAGTACTGAGAACTAATCACAGATTTTGCCTTTTCAGAGTTTTATCTTATAACATACCTAGTCATACCTAAATATCCTCACCTGCCTTCTACTGTGGTGGAGAAAGGATACTCCAGCATCTTGAAGAATTTGGTACCTAACTAAATGCAGTGGAGTTGAAAATGGACTGTGAAAGTGAGATTTATTTACCTTAAATCCAGGGGCACAGGTGCATTTTCCAGTCACACTATCACAGTCAGCACCATTTTGGCAGCTGCAGATCTGCTGACACAACTCGCCATAGAATCCCGGGGAACACGTCTCGTTGCAGTAGAGCCCAGACCAGCCAGGCTTGCAGGAGCATTCCCCAGACATAGGGTGACAGCTGCCAGAAGGAGATGAAAGGATAAATAATTCAGGACTAAACGTGACACCAATTTTTTTTTTTTTCCAGAGAACAAAATGCTGTTATAGATAGGTTGCATAAAGGATCTTGCATGCTATGCACCAAGATGGTTTTACTCCTCAAACCACAAAGCAAAGCAAAGGGTTCCATATATGTGTATATAAACGCATGCCAATTAAGATAAAAAATGTAACATCATACAACATATAGACATTTTGGGAGGACATAGAAAGAAAACAGGTATCATTTTTCTATAGCTAGTTGAAAAGAAACATATCTGAAATACAGTTTTTACCATAAAATAGATATCCATGGTTACAAATATCAAGGTGATGAAACAATTGAATTCTCCAAAATGTATTGTTAGGTTTCCACTCCAAGTGTAATAAGATGACTTTCATAAGACTCAAACTCAGCAGCATACTGTCTGAGAAATATGATGCTTTGGTAAAATAGTGTGGCATCCAACACAAAATAATAACATGTCACCCAATGAGTAGCAAACATGCTCTTTTCTTTAAATCATTGCTTGAAAAGAGGACAATTGGCATCTTTCTGGGAATGATACAAAATCACTTGCATTGGGCAGAAGTCAGATACACCATCACAGCAGTGACCTTTTGGAGAGTATCTCCCCTATGTTGGCCATACCTGGTGGCAGACCAGCTGTCCCTACCTGGAACAGCAGTTTCATTGAAGGGCCAGTCAGACAGCTGTTGCCTCACAACAAATGGACATCATCAGCTGCGCAAAGATATATGTGCTGGAAAAGTGGACACAATGGGGTACTCTGTAGTGCTCTGGCAGACAAAGCACTTGCTTAATTCTCACCAAAGGAAAGCCTTACTAACCAAATCCAATATATTTACAATGGGAAGACTGTTTGAAGATATTTGCCACTGATTGAAGTGAAGTCCCCGTAAGTGTGCTGGAAAAAAACTGTGCCTTTGTCTAGACACATTAAATGACCCATGACAAGGGCCTGATTTTGCAAGATTTGCTGACTCCTTGTGTGGGGCTGTGTTTGAAACTGAGTATTTTTCTGATCATTTGAAAAAATACCTTTAGCACTCTTAGGTACTATAAGTAACAACAATATTCTTCAAAAAAGTTGCAACATAACAAGGGAATGCAGTATTAGTTGCAACTGCTCTTGGACTCGACTACTCTTGCCAAACTGAGTTTCCTATTGCCAAATACAATGGACAACATACTCCTGATCAACAAAAGTATGAATTATAAAGGCTGGAATGTCACCATGCATTCTGTTTTCTACATATTATTGCAAACACTATGACACTATGACAGCGTAAGTATTTAGGGGTCCTGAAGATATTAAAATCTCTTTGACAGTATTAAGGTGGTTTACATAAAGTGAGAGGAAATGCCTTTTCAACTGAATGTTATATGCAGAAATGCTTCAAAACACATGGTGTTCATAGTCAACAGTCCAGGTTATTTGTTCAGTTCTAAGTACACCTGCCATGAAATAAGTTGAAATGTAACTATTCTCATATAAAACACATTTAAAATTATGAAAATACATGATGCAGCAAGATAATCAGATTTGTCCCCTATTCTTAACTTCCTGTAGGCACCTAATGGCATTTTGGATCCAATTCCCATCTTTCTTATCATTGGAAGAACACAGGGCAGGCAATATGATAAGATTTTCAATTCACAACTGAATAGCCATTAGGATATGAATTAGAATATACTTATAACATAAAATTAGTAGTACTGTCATTTTAAGAAATAAATCCCAGCATTGTTTGTTGTTGATTTTTTTTTCCTTTCAGGAGGGGGGAAGACCACACGCATGAGCAAGCACTGGGTATAAAGCAGAGGCACTGACATTCTGTGCCCTCCAGTCAGTGTTACTAAGGCATACTTGCACATATATTGACTGACACCAAAATTACTATTCCATAATTTGTAATTAGATGTAGGAAGCTGGAGCACTTCTGAAGCTTTTTGATGGGTTCTCATGCAGTTAGCTTAATTGGCAATAAGATTTATATATTAAGATAGGAAAATATATGTTGAGAGATACTGCCAGTACATCTGCTTTTATTCCTGATCTTTTATTCACACTTTCTGGATATACAATGCTACTCTGTACAGAGACAAAAAAATAGTTGTGGGCAGTTGATATTATATATTTGAAGGACTTAGATGAGCTTAATGATTTTTGTATGATATATATAGGTCTTTCACTGTTACAATATCCAACCAAATTCTGTAGCATCCTATACAATACAAAATTTCCATGAAAAGCTCTTGTACATGTACATACAAGTCCATTAGAAAAATGCAACATTGCAAGATGCCCTAATCTTGACTTTAAAAACACACACAGACTATATGAACTAAGCATGTATCACACCATGAAATTCCACTCAACCACATCTATGTATCTTGTAAAAACATGAGACAAAAGAAAACCCATTAGAGCTCATGTCATGAATAAACTTTAACACTAGCCTGAACTATACCAAATTAGTTGGTGATACAGAATGACTCCAGCTAATCTTACCTACAGGTGTGAACCAGTGGTGGAAGATCACCAGAAAGAGCTTACAAGAAAAAAAAAACATGGACATCTCAAATTTAGCTTGGAGATCAACATGAAACCAGTGCATACACTGTAACACAGCCATAACAAATATCCTTTGTAAATCTTCCAGATAAATATGCAGCTACAGTCTGCCCTTCTTACATTTTCTAAATGATCATCAGGTGTCACTTGAGTAAAGGCATGACAAAAGCCAGACTAAAAGTGGTTTAGGCTAGAACATTCCTGTACAAAATGAAGTGACAATGTTGATGAAGGCAGATCAAGGCCTTTTTTGCTCATTCCTGCAAACTGAATCTTCAGAATGACAAGTTTCTGTAAGCCCCACAAACTGTGGATGGAAGCGGCAGAGACACATGGGTCTGCTCATATCAGCTCACAGTGCTGCTGTTGTACCCCACTGAGGAAGCATGCTTTATGCGGTCTTAGTCTCAGCCAGCTAGCACTCACTATTTTTTTTTCTTGACTATTGAGTAAAAAAAGAAAATTTGATAGTGTCACCTAGCCACAGAGAACAGAGATCTGTGTCTGATTTGCACTGTAGCTCGAATTCTTTCATGTCCATTAAAAGATGGAACAGAGAACCATTTGTGAAAAACGTCTTGGCACAAGAGGGTTGTTACCTGCTGCTGTCCTCTGGTCCACTCAAAAAGAATAAAATCTCTCAAGTATATCTATATCTAACCCTTTACAAAGCATTTAATAACACAACATAGAACAAGGACAGGCTTGTCTTTCATCCCTGGGAGCTGCCATCAACCAACAGCAGTAGCAAAATCCCTGTAGCTTAACCTACCCAAAATGCAAACTATGAATTATTGCTGAGGCTGTTTTGATGCAATTTCCTCAATCATAAAACAGTAATAGAAATATGTGTACATTTCTGAACTATGGTGTCTATGGTGTATCATAATGTTTTTGTATCTAAGTACTTGAAGAAAATGGCTAAACACATACTTGTACACTGCAACTTATGTATACCTTTTACAGCAGTATTTTTTGGTGTTAAGTATTTTCTTAATTAACCTTTCGTTCATTTCCGTATCTATGAATACTAAGAATATAAGTAATAACCTAGAGCTCTGAAGTCTACCAACAGCTCCTCTTTGAGGATATCTAAACTAGTGGTCATACCTAGATGAAAAAAGCTTTTACAATATCAAGGTCCCTAGAAGTCCTAATAGAATCCTAGATCTACACACAAAGCATATTCAAAGAAGGAATTGTACCCCCTTTTTTGTGCCCTGGGATTAATGGTTGTTACATTGCTGCTAAATCGGTTAGTGCTATGGAGGAGATCCTTTGGCTACAGTCAGCCCAAACAGTACTTGTGGCAGGCAAGTAAGGGATGAGGATATTTCCTGATGTGCTTAAAAAGTTGTCTCCTGGCTGACTCATATTTAGTGCGGGATGAAGACAACCAGACACAACCGGCTTCTCAAAAGATTCTGAAAAGCGTAACGTGTCCGTAGGGAGCTCTGTCTTCTCCACCATTACTCAGATGCCATTTGATTTCTATTATTCAGTAGTCTTAATCACTTCCTGACCCAGGGGGAAGGAATCTATACATGAAAAATACACTCGTGAAGTCATGAAAATCTTTGTTTTCCTCAAAGATTACTAAGCCCTTGCAAATATGCTCCTGCACCTACAGGGTTGTTAAGTGCCTTTTGATTTGTCATACAGAGGGGAAAATGTTCAAAAAAAGACCAGCCATATGCTGCTGTTTACACGTGAACATTTGTGATTTGATTTGACCACAAATACCGCTGTCTTCCAGCAGTATAAATGAAGGAACAGCTGTGTTGAACATGAATCAGAAGTAATCCCTGTAATATCAGAAATACTATACAGTGTAATGCGTTCCTATCAAAGAAGGCTGCTACAATGGTGTGCAGAGAAATTTTCAGGAAAGCAGTTAACCATAATTCATCATACAATTGTATTTGGTCCACTAGCATAATTTGAGAGCTAGATAGGTTTATGGTGCCATTTATTCTTGAATGCATTGCCAAAGAATTAATTGCATTACTTTATGTCAAAAACTTTGTATTTTTTCAAAAGACACTTCAAGTAATAGTGATAAACAGAAGTGCAAGCACACAACTGTGAAAGCATATGAATGGAAAGGGAAAAGAATTCAATTTGCTGTCACATGGTTTGTCAATGAAAGGCATGTTGAACAACTCAGACCACCCACAAAGTAATTTTTCACAGAAGCCTAACAGTATAGGTATTTCCTTGTATGTGCTTGAATGCTTTAACTTCACTGCTAAATTCTGACTAAGGCTTTTGTTTTATCTGTGAAGAAAAGTGCATCTTATATACAACTACAGCAGCATTCTGTGCAACTGTCAGTAGTTTTTGCAAATTTCTTTCACAGCTGTTTTCAACAGGCTTGAAAATAGATTTAGATTCAGAAAAATTTAGATTGTGCTCTCAAACCTTATCTAAGGTACCATGATTAGTAATGCAATTAAGTGTAAGTGAATGTGTAAGTGAATGCACAACGACCAAAGTATTTCATCAGAACTGTGTTTTGTAACAAGAGAAAGCTGTCCAGAATTGTTCTATAAATAAGTTGGCTCGCCTCGACTGACATCTGACATTCCTCCCTCACAGCTGAAAGTCTGTCTCCAATAGCTAGTTTTCAGATTCTCATAACAATATGCTGAAAAACTACAAAATCCACAAAGACACACAAAACAAAAAACAGGACTGATTACCACCTGAACAAGGAGACATGGTAAAATGTAAGCCAACTGGAAAACTATTTTCATTAAATTTCCAGGGATCAGATTTTATCTGCTTTCAAGAAAAATAATTTAAATGACAAAAAAAAAAAAGTATTTTTGAAACCTAGATTTATAATTGGTAAGACTTTGGATATTTTGTATTAAAATAGCCATCTACACCAACTCTTATACATGTGTACAGAGAGAAATAGATTCTGCTCTAATGCCTGACTCGTAAGACTACATATCCATTGATTTCAACGCAGTTATTTTTCATCGACAGTACACTAGACTATGTGAGGGATGTATGATATATACTGATTTTATATGGTGAACAATATAGTGATTTACTAATGTGGTAAAAAGGTCACTCTTTGTCTTAACATTTATTTCAAGCGCCAGAGACCAAATTCAGCAGTGAATATTAACATCAAACATGGTTGCAAGAACTAAGATTCAGAAGTTCTTTTGAGTTGTTATTTTTTTCTTGGTATGGTTAGAGAATACCAAATACTCTTAAAGTCTTTAGCAGCTTCAGTTTGCATGAAAGTACTAGAAAAATCAGGAAATAGCTATTTTTAGATTATATTTGGATTTCTATGTTCTACATAGAAAAAAAAAAAAAACCAACAGGCTAAAGGGTGTAAGGCCTACCTCCAGGTATTGGGCATGTGGCAGGGACACTTTTTATCACACTTGAGACCATAAATTCCCTCAGGGCAAAGCCTTGTTTCACAGCGCTCTCCGGTGTATCCTGGTTCACAGAGACAGGCACCACTAATATGGTAACATTTCCCACCATTGATACACTTGCAGGTCTCAGCACACTGCACTCCGTAAGTCCCTACTGGACACTCATCTTGGCACCTGTGAGAAAAATAAACAAACAAAAATAGTTTTATTTCCTGTAAACTACAGCTTTTAAACGATTTAAGGGAAATCTGGTTTATGAGGAATCTCTTATACTGGTCTAAGATGCCTGTTATGTAGAATAGGAATTTACAAGCACCTGTCTCTCTGGTTTCTTTTGCTGCTCAGCTAGACAGGCCTAAAAACATTGGCTCTGCAAATTACTTTGGAAAAGGTCTCCATTCTCTTCAACAAAGAGGACAACATGCATACACAGACCACTGCACTTCTCATTCAGAGACCAGAACAAAACCAAACCCTCTTAAATCAGACCTGAAGCATGAAGGAATCAATTTTCAAGTATTTTGTTTCAAAAGCCATCCATCTGCGAGTTTTTAAAGTGATTTAGATTCTCCACTTAGCAATAGTGTGAATAGCCAGCAAACACCCACGCCCCTGCAGACGCTGAGGCCAGGAAGTTCCCTGGCGATCATGCTCAACAGTCTCTGATGAGAATATTTTCTAATTGTGTTTCCAAATACATTATGTTTCCAGAATACCTTTCTTTTCAGAATTTAATTCTAAACCTATTTTTTTGTTTTTGACTTGTTCAAAAACACAGAGGATGACATGGAAAAATCTTCAGAAACCCAAAACATTTCTTTTCATCTGACTTTTTAATAGATGAAAATGAAAATCAGTGCAGGCTTGCATTTAACCCATATGGGAGAGTAGCAATGATTTTTATTGCTCCTTAAGGAAAATATATTCTAATAAAGAGAGTTCTTCATCAAACTTTTCCTCTTTCATTCAGAGCTTTTAAAGGATTGCTGCTTTAGGTAACAAACTTATTTCCTTAACGTTTTACACATGAAACATATTTTTTAACCTAAAGATCAGACTGTATGTTTAGCTGTCCAGCCTGACTACTAAAAGACAATTTTCAGTATCCTGCTTCTAAAACTTGCAACTCATTTAGGAATGAGTTTCCAGATAGAAATTCCATTTGGTGATGTATTTAAGAGACACAATATGAGTTTGACGTTTTCAGCATTAACTTCCCTGTGGTTTACTACTGAATTGCTAAAATTTGGAATGCCACTACTACTGCAGCATTACTACCTTATTAAAGGCTCCAGCACTAAGTGCAGTTAAAACACCTGATTATAGGCATGAGGGCAGACCTCTCAGCTCAACAGGTTCATGCCTCAGAGCCAAGAATGACAATAATTCACATCTTATGTGTCAGGGAAAATCCCCAAATTTTTCAATATAAGCATCATATAAACTCTGAATTATGCCGACATAGTCAAAAAGCCAAAACAGCTAAATCCCAAAGCTTTAGGGCAAGAACATTGAAGTCCTAAGGTGTGCTGTGAACTCAACAGGTGACATCAAGTACATAATATCTTCTGTAATTTGGGTACCTTTAAGTTTTACCAAATCACAGATTGTACAGAAACATTACTTGATAATATGGCACACTATTAATGGTTTTACCAGCTTATAACCTGATCATTTCCCCAGTCCTATAAAAGAATTTCCTTGGTGGTCTCTTTCCACTTTTCTTATATACTTTGCTTTTTTAATATTCTTTTAGTGATTGGTGCTTTATTACAGAAGAATTTCAAAGACATGTGATACAAGGCACTACAAAATGTAACAGAATTTAGCAGAGCCCTCTGACTGAGGTAAAATGGCTATACATGTTCACTTCATGCTCCTGCAGTATTTGCCTCAAAGTGATACTGTTATCCAGAAGTTTCATGGTATTCGCAACTCTGCCCCGACTGAAGCCAGCAATAAAATCTTTTTTCCTTCAGAGGTGTAGCATAATAATAGAGCTAATAACCCTGTTTAAATGTTCCCTAATGAAGTTATACAAATAAAGCTGAGAATGAATTTTCTCCAAATGACAATTGGGAATCCCTACCAAATTAGGCAAAATTTAACCTTGTAAGTTTTTTTTTTTTTTAATTGAGCTTTTGAAAGACCCCTTTCCACTTCCACTGTGGTGAGGACAGGTATCAGTCAAAAAGTATCAGGCAGAAGAATTATAAAGGTAGTTTAAACTAAATTCCCTTGTGTTAACTCAGATCACCTAGAAAATGTGACATGCTCTAGGAGTTCTCTTTTCTTTGCTGTATGACCAAGTTCCAGGAGTCACCTCTACACCAAAATCTCAGATAAGTACTGTGTAAGTTACACAAAGAAGTGGAGAATAGCTTAGCATTAAAAACCGTCCTTTTTGGTCTGGTATGTACGTGCTAGCTGCGCCAATGCCCATGTATTTCCTGTAACACTTCCCTCCCTTGCCAGTCCACTGACACCACATAAGAATCAGGTCTACAATGTTGCTTCTGACCCATTCCTGTCCTTGGAGTATCTTGAAAAACTAAAGAATTGCAAATACAGCCTGTTTTGCAGGAAAAGAGGGAGCTCAGACTTGCAAAAGTGATCAAAATGCCACAGCCTGTAAGGCATTTCAGATTAAAGTCAGATTTAAATTCCAAGGCAAAAAATTTAACTGCTTTTAGAAAGACCAGTGTAGTGCAGTGCATAGACTCTCATATGGGTATTCCCTCGATTTCCCTGCTGATTTGTCTGTGTCTCTTCAAACGCATCTACCACTTTCTGCACTGTTACTTCACAGATGCAAATTTAATTTTGACATCCAAATAGCTCTGGACTAATTGTTTCTCTTCTTAATTTTTTTTTCCCCTTAGGTCTGGCACGGCTTTGCCCACATCCTGTGAACACTCGTGTGGGAAGTGCATATGGTTATAATACCTACTATTGTTGGCAGAGTTTCCTTGGACTGAACCCAGTGATTAAGCTGCTGCTGACTTCAGCAAATGAGTCATATTTAAAATATATGAAGGAAAACACTTCTTTCATCACTTTCCACTGCCTTCAAAAATGATGCCTTGCTATATTATCTTCACAATCTACCAAAGCCAATTTTTAACAATCAAGTCAGAAAATAAATTTCACTTCTTCTTTTGAATGAAATACTCTAGGAGACAACTCTCCAGCTTGCTCACTCTGAAGAGGAACCGAATGAACCTCCCTTGCTACCATGACTGCCAAACATCTGCACAAAACCAAGATCTTCCCTCCTCACTGCTTCACCATACCCCAAACTGCATCATTCTGCAAGCCACTCAAGTGAAAACCCACAAGTCACTGCCAGAGCATGTGCCACAGCAGGAAAACCCTGCAACCAAGCACTTCCTCAGAGAAGGGTAATCACATAGACACTTTTAACTTGTGACCCAAGCTAAGTAACACAGCAAACATTTTACAAGATTTTAATTATATCACAGATATTTTCCTTCTGTTTTCTACCAGCTTAATTTTTTCTGCTATAGCAGACCCCTTGCAGGTTCAGTAGTCAGGCAAAAATAAGTTTTCCTTACCGTTCCCCTGTGTAGCCTGGGCTGCAATGGCATTGGCCTGTTGCTGAGTCACAGGTCCCTCCGTTGTGGCACTGGCACTCCTGGGAACAGTTTTTCCCATAACGACCCTCAGGACAAGGCTGACCACAGACCACGCCCTGAGTGTGCAGAGAAAAAAATTAATATTATATTTGGGATTACAGCTTGAATAGACGAGAAAGAAAGGTGTGTAATAAAGGAAGATCACAGAGATCTTGTGTCACTCGTCTAGTGCTGATCTTGGAAATGCCAGATGCTTCTCTAGCTTTAAACATGGGGTATGTTTCAGCACTGGAGGATTAAACTTCTAGGATTTCCATTTTGGAAGCCGAAGCTAATGAAAACACTATCTCTAAGCAACAGCGAAAACACTCAGACATGTAAGACCAATTGATGTCAAGATCTTCCCAATTTATTTATCAGGAGTCACATGGAAAAGACAAGGAGCAACGGATATAAGTTACTCCTGCGGAGATTCCAATTGGACACCATGAGGACATTGGAATAATCTCCCAAGGGAAGTGGTGGATTCCCCTATGTTGGACCATTTTAAGACTCAGCTTGACAGGGTGCTGGGCCGTACCATTTAAACTGTATTTTTACCTTGAAAGAGGTTGGACTAGATGATCCTTCAGGTCCCTTCCAACCTGGTATTCTATGATTCTATGATATCAAGACATCCAGAAATGCCCTCCAGTGAGTAGTGGTGTAGAAATCAGTAATTGCTGTAATGCCCCAGCTATACTATGTTATGACAAGTTGGTTTTTTCTGATGAAAGGAAAAACTGTTTGTAATTTCCTTGAAAGTGGCATATCTTGAAAGCTTAGATAGGATGTCTGCTTCCCTTTAACGGGTTTTTAATTTCTACACTGCTATTTATATCCTTGGAATTAATTACACTTGTGTAGTGAGGGGAGCATCAGATCTTAAGACTTTTAAAAATCCATTTAAAGAAAAACATATTTACAGGCATTTCCTTAGACAAAAGACATGCAGGTATTTCAGTTAACGTAAGATACTGCAGTATCTATACCTGGCTACTTTAAACCCTCCTTACATGAAAAGCAAAATAGGTTATACTGGCAAAATTGTGTTTCACAAAATTGAAAAATCTAAAATCAAACAGACTTATGCTTAAATAATTACTTGGAATGGAAAACTAGTCAAAGGTCTAAACAGTAATTTATTAGTTCAGACACACATTAGTATAAAATTTTTTATCACTGCTTCATATGCTATGTCATTTTTCATTAGTTGTATTTAGGCAGATAAAGGGAGCCAAGAATTTATGCAAACATTTGTATTCTATGACCAATAATTTAATTCCTCTAACATGAAGTGGAATAAAAAGTTAAAATGGCCATAATCCAAGTTAGGTAGTCAGGTGAGTGGTGCTATTCAAACACACGAACAGAGACAATCATTTATAGCTATTGTTCTCTAGTTGGTCAAAAACTGACCTCTGCCACAGGTTATGTAAATATAGTATCTCAATTATCATGAAAGTTCAGTAAATGTGGATTTTCACCCTAAAAAATTTAAATGGACATTTACATAGAAAACATTATTAAGAAATACTATTGATAAATATTATCTACAAAGGTAGTTAAAGAAATTATTTGGGCTTTGATCACCTTCCAGCCTTTTGATCACCTTCCAACTCTGTTATTGCCGACTCAGAGTCGGCAGGCTGTTAGCAGGGGAGGCTATTCGCAGCTCCAAAGTCAGTTCTTCTTTCCTTACCCACTGACAAAAGGGTAGAAAGTCTAAAGATAATGTCAAAGTTCTGATGTCCCATTTCCGTCACCAACATTTAACATAGTTATCAAAAGTTTGGGGTTTTTGCGAGGCCTATTATACATATTAAATCAGGCCCAAAACCCACTGCTAAAATATATAATGGTATCACCTCCCTCTAATATGAAATTATATCTAGAAATGAATGACTTCAGACAAGATCTAAAGGATGTGGCCTTGTCACAGTACGATTCTTTTTGCTTCCCAGAATCTGATATGGTTAAAAAGGCAGTGCAGAACTGGAGAATTTTCAGGAACAGATGGTTTTGCAAGTATTTTATTCCAGTCCCTTATGCTAAAATACGTTTCTCATTACTTCCGGCTACAGGCAGCCTGCATTTGCTATTCTCATTTTCTCTCTATCCTTTTCTGATGCTGCCCAAAATCTACAAATATGGAAGTTTTATGAGGTTGTGTCGATTTGAGAAAGTGTTTTTACCATCCATCCTGGCGGGCAGGCACACTCCCCTGTGACATGGTGACAGACGCCTCCATTCTGACATGGGCACCTCTCCTCACACTGCGGCCCATGCTTCCCGGGGGGACAGAGGTCCTCGCAGCTGGGGGGGCGGTAGTGTACAATAGACACAGACATTACTTCGGCACAATCTCCAGCCACCTCTTTATTTTTAACGCTATCATGAACTCTCCAGCCAAAAGTATGAAACAGAAAGCAGTCCAACATAAAGACATGCACGCTGAATACTGTGTGGCATCCATGCAGCAAATCTGAGGAAAAAGACCTGACTATCTAGGAATTATTTCTTCTTAAAGACATTTACTTCTACACTAGTTCGTGCTCATTTGTTGTTAATGAGCTCAAAACTCATTCTGGAATGACAAAGCTGAATACTCTGTGTTCCAATGCAATTTTCCAAATTTGCAGCCAAACCATTTTCATGGTGGTCATGAAGAAGCTCCTGCTGCTACTTTTTGTGGTTTTTACTTAGCAGTCCAGATCAAGGCTTTCTCTCAGCTACATATCTGAATGTGCACTACAACATGGTTTGCCCAGCTGCTTCTTAGCCACCAATCCCGCTTCCCTGCGTTACACAGCAGCCAGACAGTGTTAAAAGTTAATCTAAACTTAATTTCTCTTGTTAGCACTATTTAAAACTTGTATCTCTCTCCCATAAATAACAGGCCCGCTGCTTACAAAGCACCCGTGTATCCAGGAGGACATCTGCACTCTCCAGTCACATGGTCACAGGTGGCTCCATTTTGACACTGGCATTTTTGATGGCAATCGTTTCCGTATGTCCCTTGATGGCAGCGTTCCTCACAGCGCCAACCTTTGAAACCTGATGCACAGTGGCAGGCTCCAGTGATGGGGTTGCACAAGGCGCCATTTTTGCACTGGCAACGGCTGCTGCAGTGAGGTCCCCAGTGGTCACGGTCACATGCTGAAGAAGTAGAAAGAAAAATTTACCACCATTTTATAATAGCTCATGCTACAGCACTAGAGATACTATGAGTCAACTGTAAAAAAAAAAAATAATTATGAAATGGAAATAGTCATGTAGTACATCCTCAGTCCTTGGTCCTCAAGGATCTTGGCAGGCAGACAGAACCTAATTTATACACACAAATCAATTTCTTAAGCATAAAAGCAAACACTTTAAAATGTGAAGCTGTGAAGTAAATGCAAGTTCTAGTCTCTTCACTGTCAAAATTCTTCATTACGATTCTCCACCGCCAAATAACAGTCATGGTTGCAGTGAGCTTCCATTTACGCAGAGAAGTCTTGCTAACTTAAAAAAGTAAAAAAATGTAGTCTAAATCCATGAACAACTGTCTGAATCATACTAGGAAGTTCCAAAGCTTACTTAACGTAAAATTATTATTTTTTTCAAAACTACAAGTTCCTACTTGTTTACATAATTGCAAATATTTCCTTTTCAATCTTGCAATATACTGATACGGCAAAACAAAACACAAGAAGTGTTTCACCAAGCAATAGAAATTGACCATTACATGGTCAAACTTCATCCGGATGTTACAAATTTGGTTATTGAATGTGTCTTCATGATCATTCAAATGCATCTTTTCTTGTCTGCTGCAATGCAGCCCATTAAAACCCTATAAGCAAACTACTCAGAGGTTATTTCAGAATCAAAAGAAAAACCTTAATGTTAAGGCAGAAATTTTTCTTAAGTGAAAAACATGGGAGTTTTGGATAGAGTTAGAAGATTAAGGTCACCTAGAGTTCAACCAGAACGTGCTAATCATATGGTCAAATGATCTGATTTTATTTTTCTGTTCTGTTGATAACAGCGGTACAACTAGAAAGTCTCAATTGCAGTGACTGGAAGCCCAGGGTCTCCTCTTGGAGACTGACAACCATTGTTCTCCCAGTCTTCTCCTGGGGCAAAAAAGCCAGGCAGAGAACAGGCACACTTTCCTAGACTAATGCAAAGTAATTCAAGAATCCTCCTCAGGGTAGGAATTATTCAGCTATAGGAGCTGTTCACTCAGGCTACACAAATAAAAAGGGATTAGGGTCTTTTAAAGAATCTGCTCCTTAAGATTGTGGGGTTTTTTTCAGAGAGGTCACTAGAACATGCATCCATAATGGAGATATTGTGAGCACCTACACACAATAAAATACAGAGCAACAGAAAGTATTGTATGTATTTTGAACACCCAGCAACACTGTCAAACTGTCAGAACAACTGCCCATCTTATCACTGGCCTCTCTTTTTAAAGATGTGTGGTTTTTGTTCTGGACTATACTACAACACACTGCTTCTACAGCACACAGCATCTCGCAAGTTGCCTTTCCCCATGGTAACTCACATTCATTAAGAATTGCTATATGTTTATTTTCAACATGTCTGTATGGAACAGAAAGTGTAATCCTCGTGCTCAGCCAGTCCTCAAACTGTTGTCAGGAAACTAGCTATTTTGGGATATGTATATAGAAATATATGTACGGTTGGGGAGACATCCGAGTGAGTCGCATGTTCTGTCATGACTGAGAAGACACTTCTACATTTCTTTTTGCTCAATGCATTAGTCTGGATTCAGAAAACAGTCTTCCTCCTGCTCCCAGACAAAACAGACAATTTCAATTTCAGCCACTCCTCATGGAATAATTAAATAATAATAATAATAAAAAAAAAAAACCCACAAAAACTGTCCTGCATGTCTGATATACAAAAGAATTCTGGGGTTTGCCTCACTCTTCAACTGCAAGTGCTCCAGCCACACCACCCAAGTCGAACAGGGTAAAGGCAGGGGCTGGCAGAATGAAGAACCACCCACTGTAGGAGATGATCAGGTTCAAGACCAGCTAAAGAATCTGAAGGTGCAGAAGTCCATGGGACCTGATGAGATCCATCCACAGGTCCTGAGGGAACTCGTGGACGAAGTGGCTAAGCCACTATCCATCATACTTGAGAAGTTCTGGCAGTCCTGTGAAGTTCCCACTGACTAGAAAAAGGGAAACATAACCCCTATATTTAAAAAGGGAAAAAAGGAAGACTTGGGAAATTAAGGCCAGTCAGTCTCAGCTCTGTGCTTGGCAAGATCATGGAGCAGATCCTCCTGAAGGCTTTGCTATGGCACATGGAAAACAAGCAGGTGACTGGTGATAGCCAGCATGGCTTCACTAAGGGCAAAACGTGCCTGACAAGTTTGATGGCCTTCTACGATGGGGTTACAGTGTTGGTGGATAAAGGAAGAGCAACAGACATCATCTACCTAGACTTGTGCAAAGCATTTGACACTGTCCCACACAACATCCTTGTCTCTAAATTGGAAAGACGTGGATTTGATGGATGGATGATGTGGTGAATGAGGAATTGGCTGGCAGGTTGCACTCAAAGAGTCAGGGTCAACGGCTCAATGTCTGAGTGCAGACCAATGACAAGTACCACTCCCCAAGAGTTGGGATTGGGATCGGTGTCATTTAACATCTTTGTTTGTGTCATGGACAGTGGCATCGAGTGCAGCCTCAGCAAGTTTGCCGACGACACCAAGCTGTGTGGTGCAGTGGACAAGCTGAAGGGAAGGCAGGCCATCCAGAGGGACCTTGACAGGTGGGAGAGATGGGCCTGTGCAAACTTCATGAAGTTCAACAAGGCCAAGTGTAAGGTCTTGGACCTGGGTTGGGGCAATCCCAAGAACAGATATAGGCTGGGCAATGAGTGGGTAGAGAGCAGTCCTGTGGAGAAGGACTTGGGGGTTCTGGTGGATGAAAAACTGAATATGAGCCAATAGTGAGTGCTCACAGCCCAGAAAGCAAATGGCATCCTGGACTGCATCAAAAGAAGCGTGGCCAGCAGGTCAAGGGAGGTTATTCTCCCCCTCTACTCTGCTCAGATGAAAACCCACCTGCAGTACTGTGTTCAGCTCTGGGGCCCTCAGCACAAGAAAGACATGGAGCTGCTCCAGCAGGTCCAGAGGAAGGCCATGAAGATGATCAGGGGCTGGAGCATCTCCTTTATGAGACACACTGAGAGAGTTGGGGTTGTTTGGCCTGGAGAAGAGAAGACTACACGGAGACCTTTTAGCAGCTTTCCAGTGCTTAAAGTGAGCCTACAGGAAAGCTGGGGAGGGACGCTTTACTAAGGAGTGCAGTGATAGGATGAGGGGTAACAGTTTAAAACTGAAAGAGGGGAAATTGAGATATTAGGAAGAAATTGTTTACTATGAGGGTGATGAGACACTGGCACAGGCTGCTCAGAGAAGCTGTGGCTGCCCCCTCCCTGGCAGTGTTCAAGGCCAGGTTGGATGGGGCTTTGAGCAACATGGTCTAGTGGGAGGTGTCCCTGCCCATGGCACAGGGGGTAGAACTAGAAGATCATTAAGGTCCCTTCCAACCCAAATCATTCTATGAGGCAGACTGGTCGCCAGACCACAACTGTACCAGTGCACAGCTTGAAGGCCCAGTGTAATGAGTCTGAGAGCCACACAGACCAGAGAGATCTGCTACCACACATCTGCCATTACATCCAACACCCAGGCACCAAGACTGCCTTGCTAGAAACCACCTTGCTTGTGAAGCAGTGGAGGCTTTACACTCCCTCTGCTTTTCTTACAATGCCATACCCAGTCTGTCTCCCTGGCATGCACTCTGCTGTCTCCTGGAGATTTACTGACACCCAAGGTGAACATGCTATGTCTGTGAACTTGAACTTTTCTCAACTATTTTACTGTAAGAGCAAGTACTACACAGTACATAATAATTTATTAGTTTTCCGGTGTGATCTTCTCATTATGTCTGCAGGAAATCATTAAAATAAAAAGCATCATATGGCTGTTAATAGGATTTCCAGTCTTAAACGATTCTCCTGGCAATGGCCAGGTGACTGCACTGGCTGTGCAGTTTTTCACTACAGCACAATGGTAAAGATATCACCAGGACAGTGGCAGCCCCACCATAGTATGACTGCATGATAGTTCTTTACACAAGTTCTGTCATCAGCCCAGCATCTATCTATGAGTTATAGGCAGAACTGTGCAGAAATTTGCTGGATTAATGGGAATACCAATTTTGAACGAGATGGTAAGTCACGTATTTTACTTCTACATTCTCTGACTGATAATCAATAATGTTCCCCACAGAAAATTAAAGTGATTTGTCAGAAACTGATGCTCAGTTTACTATCAAAAAAGAAGAGGGCAAAGGGTAAAGAAGTTTCCTGTGGTGAGGTTTTTTAATTAGTTTTGGAGGCTAAATTTACCAACTATTACATCAGACTATTTCTGCTGCTTCCTAGTATTCAGACACTAAGAAAGCTGGGCTGGAAGTCACACAGCTGCTCATCTGGTGGAGTGGGATAGTCTGAGTTAATGACTATAGTCAGGTTACAGACTGTCAGCTGGAGTTTAATCAGAATAGCTGCTCTGACCATCCTGACTGCACCAAGGTCACTGGCACACATGCATGTGCAAACAGTACATGCATACACATGCAAAAGTGTCAGCTACTGGCTTCTGAACAGATTTGGAGCTGTAAATCATCTGTCTCAGCACAGGGTATAGAGGAGCAAAGTATAGAGACAAGAGCCCTGTGTTCAGAATGGTTTCAACACAAGGACGATACATCTCAGCCCAAATAACTCCTGGAAACAGCCTGAATCCTGCAGAAATGCAAAACCCAATCAGTAAGCCAGGGTTAATTTTCTGTGTTGATCATACAGAACTGGCCTAATGCTGCTCTGTTTTACATAGAGCACCCTCCTTACAAAAGTAATTCTCCTTCCCCTTTTCACATATGTAATATTCACCCACAGGTTTTTCTGTTTTAAACAGGAGAATCAGTTAGCTGTACTGCTCCATGTAAGCTTTCATAGTAGACTCACACAGCCGTTTCCACCTTCACCTTATGCTGTGGGAGGTGGTGGTGGGAATCAAAGTAAACGTTTAACAAACACCATGGTATTAATGCCACATCTTG